CTTCAAGACTTTCTTCAGGAGTTTGAACTTTTAGAGTTCCAAGAAACAATGCACTCATTCATGTGACAAAATTTTATTGAGAACATGCTATGTGCTGGGCACTGTTATAGGTTCTGTGAATACAGAAGAGTAACAAACTAAAGTAAAAAAAAAAAAAACCTAATCCCTTTATGCTAACTGATTTTAAACAAGGGAAGAAGTTTGTGCTGGAGGAAAAAAAAATGGAGAAGGAATAAGACTGTAGTCAAATCCCTTACTAGTCCTTCATCAAGATTTAGTTTTTCCTTAATTATACTTCTCTCTTGGGCATTTCCTCTTTTGTCAAGAGCCTTTTTTTTTTTTTTTTTTTTTAACCCAAGGACACTTAACCCCTGATCCACATCCCGCACCCTTTTTATATTTTATCTAGAAACAGGGTCTTGCTGAGTTGCCTAGGGCCACACTATATTGCTAAGGGTGGCCTTGAGCATGTGATCTTCCTGCCTCAGCCTCTCTGAGTCACTGGGATTACAGGCATGTGCCACCACGCCTGCCCCTTTCCTTATCCCTCCATTGTAGCTATCTTGCAAACCCTGACTCCTACCTAACATGCTACACCAAGCTCCAGGTGTAGAACACACTGAAGAAGAAAATGAGGAAAACATTCAGAATGTAGCAATGACATACTAGAATATACAATGCTGGCTTTCTTCAGTTCTGCTAATCCCATTCAAAGGAGATACTGCTCTCATTACTTTTTTTTTTTTTTTTGTGGGTGTGTGTGTGAGTGTGTGCGCGCATATATAAATATATATATGAATGAGAGCACTGGGGACTGAACCCAGAGTCTTGTGTGCTGTGCCACTAAACTATATCCCAGCCCACTCATTCCTTTCTATAGCCATTTTAGCCTTTAACCACTTTTCTTAAGCCCTCAACCATCTTGAATCCCTCACTCTCAGCAGATTGCTCAAAGACTTATCAAGGAGCAACCAATATTCTAAACATCTAGTTTCTTTGTTTACCAATCTACAAAGGCATCTGTTTATACCCTTCTTTTCAAAGATACCCCAGGCATCTTCCAATCTTCCATCTGTTTTCTCTAGGACATTTTCATTCATCACTTTTTCTTTCTCTCTCTCCCTCTCCTTGGTCTTCTCTTTCAACACATGAACATGTTTACTTCTTATCTTTAAAAGAAACAAACAAACAACCAGAGGCTCAGGAGGCTGAGGCAGGAGGATCATGAGTTCAAAGTCAGCCTCAGCAATTTAGAGAGGCCCCTAAATAAAATATACATAAAAGGGCTGGGGATGTAGCTCGTTGGTTAAGTGCCCCTGAGTTCAATCCCTGCTACAAAGAAAGAAACAGAGATAAAGAGTCTCCCCCTATCCTGCATTCCTCTCTCTCCACTGTCTTATATTTCTTCACTTTCGTTGCAAGCTTCTAGAAAGAATGGGTCTCTCTTACTCTTTAAGCCACTGGAACCTGGTTTAACGGACTAGTCCCACTCCATAGGTACCAGTGACTTTCTTGCCATTCCTAAGGGCATCTTCCAGCCCTGTCCTCCTAGATGTCCCTGCTGTCCTGTGCTAACCTTTCACTCTCTCCTGACAAGCTTTTCCGTCTGATCTTCTTCTGACACTCTGGTCTCCAGTTTTTCTCCTACCTCTTCAGTTATTTCTTCTAGATTTCTTTTGTAGGCCTCTTCCTTCTTCCATATGCCAGTTTTTATATAATATAGTCCCATTTTACTGACCGCCCGTAACCTAGAGCCCAACATTGATATCACTTTCCACACCTTTACTTTTATTGTCATAAGTCCCTGGTCTGCTAGACATTGCTAACTAGGCATTTGACAGACACTTCGAACACAAGCTGTTCAAAATTCAACTCATGATTGCTTTCCCAACACCTAGGCCCCATCTTACGGTCCCTAATCTAGGGAATGGTACCTCCTGCCATCAATTCCTAGGCATGCAGAGGGGGGCGATTCAAGATTCCTCCCCCTCCCTCATTCCCTACATTCAATACACTGTTAAATATCATTGATTTGACATCCTGTGTCTTTTATCTGTCTGTTCCTTTTCATCTCTCTGTCACAGTTTCGATTCCCTGATCTTGCAGTTGAAATGTAGCCATGGTCTCTTTGTTGAGCTCCTAGTCTGTATTCCTGGCCAACATTCCTGGTCAGAAGCAAATGGCACACTCCAATTTGAGGGGGAATCTTGGGGGGAGTTAAAAAAAATAAAGAGGGTTGGGGGTGTAACTCAGTGGTAGAATACTCCCCTGGCATGTGAGAGGTTCTGGGTTCACCCCATGCTCTGCAGGAAGAAGGAAGGGAGGGAGGGACAGAGGGGGAAAGAAAGACAATTTATAAAACGTGGGCAGGGGGCTCGGGTTGTGGCTTGGGGTTGTGGCTTGGGGCTGGGGTTGTGGCTCAGTGGTAGAGTGCTTGCCTAGCATGCACATAAATGTAAAATAAAGATATTGTGTCCACCTAAAGCTTAAGAGTAAATATTTTTTTAAAAAAAGTGGGCAGTATATAGGAAAGCCCCAAGGAATAACATGTAATACACTGGGCCAGTAGCCAAGCAACATTTCCATATCCAGTCCTGATAAGTCAAAGGAAGGGAGTGAAAAGGGGGGAGACGGCCATATGATGGGGGCTATCATCTTTGGCTGAAGTGACCCCAGAAACAGAGATCCTGAAGAATAAATGTCCAGACCTCCCTGACCTTTCCCCATCCAGCCTCCTTCACTCACGGCTGTGCCTATTGGCCAGCCCCCACCAGGAAGACAGAGGACAGAAGGATCTGCAGGGACAAAGGGAAGGCATGTGGTGCATCTTCCAAATCCTCCTCTCTGCTATCCCAGGAGGGTTTTTTTCTGATTACATCACTTGTTACATCATTTGTCTACAGCCAGATTCTCTGTCATCTACAAAATCTGAACTTTAGCTAGGCACAGTGGAGCATGACCATAATTCCAGAGATTCAGGAGGCTGAAGGCAGGAGGTTCACAAGTTCAAAGCAAGACTCGGCAATTTAGCAAGGCTTGATGCAATTTATCAAGCCCCTGTCTCTAAATAAAACACAAAAGGACTGGGGATGTGGCTCAGTCTCCCCTAGATTCAATCCCTGGTACTAGGACATTTTCATTTATCACCTCTCATTCTCTCTCTCCCTCTCCTTGGTCTTCTCTTTCAACATATGAATATGTTTAATTCTTATCTTTAAAACAAACAAACAAACAACCAGAGAAACCCTCAAAAGAAAAGACCTAGACTTGTGTGTCTCTACAGCTGTGTGACCTTGAGTAGTTCACCTCACCCTTTAACATCAATAATAACTTCAGGTTTTCTTTCTTTTTTCTTTTGGGGGTTTTTCTTTCTATTGCCTTATCCAGGATTGCCTGCATTTAATTCCTTTGCATTCCTTCCCCAGATTTCATGAGAACAAAGAATATCAAATAATACCAAAAAGTCCTTCAGAAACAGGAATTCACCTTTTATATTGCTTTATTCTACCTTATGTAGGACTTCCTCTAATTATTCAAATTCTCTTCCCTATAGATAGTGAAGTAAATGGAGACTTATAAAACCCTCAGGGAAAAAGAAACCTCAGGAAAATGACCTGTTGCAATCTCCCTTATCGGAATCCCCCTGCCCGCTGAAAGTCAGCCCACCAAAAGTAACTGACCAACTCCTCCCGTGACCTAGCCCTGTTAAACCCTATAAAACTCAGATCCTTGTTTGTAGCCCATGGCCATTTCCCCCTTGATATGTGACCCTCTGTTGCTTAAAAAAGCATCGCTGATCAGGTCTTTCTTTCTTTTTTCTTTTTGTATTCTCTTTCATTGCTTTTCAGATAGTTATCCAATTTTGGGGATCTAGACTCTCATCCCAGTCTAGAACTCTTATGATTTTAGGATGACCTTTAACAATTGTCTCTTGGAGAATCCTGTTTGGGTTTGCTGCAAAGTTTCATATTAATGGGAAAACTTTTAAATGCCCCACATCTTAAAAAAAAAAAAAAAAAAGACTTTTCTGGAAAAAAAAAAGTTTTAACAAAAACCCTCTAGTGAACCCAAAGACAGACTGCAATGGTAGTAGCATCTTGACAAAGGGGAAGCTTGGCAGCTGTTTCCATGGGAGCCTTGGCTGGGGAGCTGTGGGCATTTGAGGGAAGCTGATGGTTTGAGACCTCGGACACCTGATGGGACGCAGAGGAGGGAGGCTGAGAACCAGCTGTTGGTCTTCCTAATATGACAAGAAAGAAGGAAGGAAGGAAGACAGAGGAGAGAACAAGAAAAGGTACTTGTAGACTAGAGAGCAGTTATCATCCCAACCAAACGCAGAAGGAGCAAGCCTATTATGGGGTAGAGCCTTTAGGAAAATGCTTCTGGAGACCACCGCTCAAAGAAAAGTACCCAGGGTCAAAATTTAGGACACATTTTATGGAAGTTTTCTCCCCTGCCCTAGTTGAGTTGGAGGGTCTCCTGCCTTTCCTCCGCCCTCAGGTTGGAAAACCCACTTGGGCGAATGGAAAAAGGAATGAGATTGTTTAAAGTGGGGACACAGCTCCCTGCACCTGCACCTCCACCCACAAGGTAAGGGGTTCTCTCGGGAATCGCTAGCAAATTTATGGGGGAAATTCCTCAAATCGACAACTGAACCTCCACACTGTGGCACTTCCAGCCCCATGATTGATCTGGCTGGCTTTCGTCTGACCCAAAGCCAACGGGTTCCAGCAGGAAAAAGTAACGACCATCTGCAAAAACCCTCATCCAAGCGAGAAGTGGAAATCTGCGCTCTCGGGTTTGCAGAGCCCAACTTGACGCCAGCGCGTTTCGCTTCCCCCACGCACTGGCACGGAGGGCGGGAGGAGAGGGAGGGAGCAGGGGGCGGCCGGGGTTCCCGCCGCCGCCCCGCCCTCCAGCTCGCGGCGATTCGGCGCTGCGGCTGGAGCTGGCGGCCGGCGGCTGCCTGTCCAGGCAGGGTCTGGCCGAGCCTCGCGTCGCCGTGCAGTGCGCCGGCTGTCCGGGAGATGGCTTCTCCCCTCTCGCCCGCTGCTCCGGCTTTTGTCTCGCCCGGGGTTGCCTGACTGCCAGCTCGCGCACACTCTCGGCCGAGAGCACTCCCCGCTCCAGGTTGGTCCTTGCGCCCTTAGCTGCCGGGGACCCCAGAGCCGGCGCGAGGCGGGAGAGGCGAGCCGAACGGGAAGAGGCGGCGTGCGGCCGGCCACCCCACATCGCGCTGGTGCAAAGGACGCCCGGAGCTGCAGAGCGAGCCGGGGAGGCGCCGAGCCCCGGCAGCCCACGTCGCCGAGTCCAGGACCCGTCGGGTGTTGCAGCAAAGCCGGCAGCGAGCACAGGTACGATCGCACCCAGCGGGAGCACCGCTGCGGGGTCTGCAGAGCGCCCCTCGAGCCAAGGCAGCTGAGGTCAAGGAGCCCCCCTCCAACATGGCAACAGCCGAGGTGCAACAATGGGAGCGCCGAGGCTGCCGGGCGGCCGGCTGCGCTGGGGACGCCCTGCAGCCCCAGCTCCCCCGCGGCGTCTCGCAGGTTGCTCACCCCAAACCCACCGCGCGCCTGCGGCTTTGCGGCCTCGAGGCCCAGGTCCCCGGCCCACCTCTGCTCTCTGAAGACACTTCCTGGCTCCTGGCTGCAGGGCGATCCGAACCAGCCGATGGTTTGGGGATTTGTTTGTTTGTTTGTTTGTTTAAGATGAGAAAAGAAAAACCTGTCCCGGAGTGGGGGCGATGCGGCTTGTGCCTTTGCGTACAGTGGGTGAAAAGTCAGATTCTAGCCTGGGCACTATATACATTTTTTAACCCGGCGAAGAGAATTGCCTTCTCCCTTATAAGGATATTGCAGCAAAGGAGACAGAAAGCTTGGAAAAGGGAAAGGGACCCTCAGGCCTGAGTTCCCGGCCCTCTGGGAAAGCACTGCTCTCCTGGCCTGTACTTGTTCCTCCTCAGCTTCCGACAGAGGTTGCTTTGATGTTGGGGTGCAATCACAGCAGGAAGCCCAGGCAAGGCTGCCAAGCTGGGGTGGGGTGGGGAGCCCAGGGGCTTGGCAGGATCCTGAGTTGTGAAAAAAGGTTACCAAATATATGAGGTTAGTTAGTGCACACACCCTAGTTGGCTGAGGTTGGAATGTGTGGGGTGTGTGTGTGTGTACACCAGAGGAATCAGTCATGGCACTTACTCCTTCAAGCCAACCTCTACCTCAGTCTCCATCTCCATCTTTTGAGGTCTTTGTGGCTTCCCTGCCCCAGTCCCAGTCAAGCTTGGGATGAAATCTCCATTGTCCTGATGATATTTTTCGTCAACCTGGGTGGGGAGTTATGCCAGCTGGTCTAGCACAACACCAGAGATTCTTCAGCACACAGTTATTCCTGCTCCCAGAAGTGGGCCAACACTGCCCCTCCTTTCTCTAAACTACCTGACTGTCTGGGACATGGCCAAGCAGATGTAAGCAATTTGCACTGAATTCCAACCCAGAATCAGTCTTGAATGAAAACTTACTTTATGGCTGCACTAGGCCTTAGAAAGATATTAGGAAGAAAAATGGCCCAGAGGGTGGCAACCCTGACCCCAGAATACTTTCCCTCTCCCCAGCTACAGCTATGGATCCTGGGGCAGTGAGCCTTTAGAATCTCAGCTCCTCCAGAGCCTGGCAGTCCCATCTGGGGTTGTGTCCATGGAAAAATTAAGTCGAGGCACATTTTATAGCTCTTCCTGGCAGCCAGCGCCTGAGGAGACAGTGGCTCTGAGCCGGAGCCCTGGACCCAGGCTGTGGCTACTTCTCCTTTGGCTTTTGGGTGAGCTTAAGGTTTGATTTCCATGGCTCTGAGCTTATTGCTGAGTGTGCATGGGTGTGTATGTCTGAATCCCATGAAGCTCTCGGGTCTGGCAGGAAAGCCACTTGTCCATTTTCCTCTCCACTAGAAGCATGGGTGAGGAAGGGAGATGTGTTGGGATCAGTTTATTTAAGGCCCTAAGCATTTTGGGGGCGCTTCTTTGGGCTTTCCCAGTCCTCTGAAATGCCTGTGGTCATTGCCATAACTTAGTTGCACTTTAATAAAGTTGTGCTCCAAACCTTCCTGAGCCTTTGGTCCCCTCTGTGGTATCCCCACCCCAGATAGGCCTGTGTTTGTACGTGTCTCAGGTCTATGGGCTTTCAGCCTTGAAGGCCTGCCTGTGCCAGCAGGGAGAGAACTGAGGGAGGGTCTCTGTTCCTTTTGGAGAACACAATGTGAACTTGGATATCATAGTGTGGATGTGGAGTAGTAGAGAAAACAGTGTTAGGAAGCCCAGTTTTGAGTCTTGGTGTGACTGACTTTATAGTTGTGTGAGCATAGGCAATTTGTGAACCTTAGATTTAGTTTGCAATATTTATAAAATGGGGGTACCTAGGTTCCTGGGATTGTTTTAAGGATAAAATACACTGCTTACCATGAACCAAATGAAAGTATGTGTGCAAACTCTTTGACTATATTGTTATATTGTGTATTGTGTATAACTATGTGCACATCAGTATATACAACTATAATGCACCAATAAAAAATGTGGGGGAAAAGTTGGCGATGTAGCTCGGTTGGTAGAGTGTTTGCTTTGCATGCACAAGGCCATGGGTTCAAGCCCCAGCACTCCCCCACCCTGCCAAAAAAAAAAAAAAAAAACCACTTTGAAAACTGCAGAGTCCTGTATAATAAGTGCCTGTTACTCATCCTGGGTCTAGCATTCATTATAAGGGAGGAAGAGCAGTCATGGGTGTGGATGGGGTGGGATGAGGAGAATATGGAGTAGGGAATGTTCCAGAACCTTTCCTTTTTGGTTAAAGAAAGAGTGATGTGACAATATGAAGGCATTATACCTTGGGCATCTTTAAATAGAGATAGGATGGGAACTGGGAGGGCGGGGGGAAAAGCTGCTTAATGTTAATAGGGAACTGGGTAGAGACAAATACCTTCCAAAGGCTGCTACTTCCTATGGACAGGGTAATGCTGAGCTGGCAAATAATATGACAGCTAACACTGATGTCAGCCAACTAGGAAATGACAGAGGTGAGATTTGATGCAGGCAATCTCACTGCATAACACTGTGCTTGTAGCCTCAATGCCACTAGCAGAGATATTGGGTCTTAGAATGGACAGAGGCAGCAGAGTTGCAGAATTCATTTGTAGTGGACTCCTTGAATGTCCCTAAGATGCCACCAGCCTGGGACCTACCTTAGATAATCTACTTCTCCAGGACAGGGGCTTGGGAGGATGATTTTTCTCTACCCAGCTCCTGCCCAGCTGAGTACCTTTTTAATTCCTGATTGTTTGGGGTCGAGGCACATGTATGAGAATCCTTACCTGCTGCCCCACCACCACCACCTTTTTTTTGTTTCCATCCTCACCTTTCCTGGGAGAAGACTTGGGATAATCAGATCAAATAATTTTGCTGCCTGGTGTGACTGACTTCATAGCTGTGTGGACAACTCTGGTAGGAGGTTTGGGACTTGGCCCTGGGAAAACTAAGGCAGGGTTCTTATTTTGGTAGTTTCATATCTGCTTCATTTTGTCTCTGTTCTATACAATGGAATTTTAGGGATGATTCTTGCAGTTCCTCTTGATATAAAGCATTAAAACTGGAAAAGACCTTGAAGATTCATATTTCAAAGAAGCCAAAGATCTTGTACCTTTTTGGAAGCCACTATCCTTCCACCTTAATTCTGTCACCCCTGCACCATACCTTCCTTGGAACCTTACTTTACCTCCTTTCTTCCTGGGTCTTCCTTTCCATTTTCTTCCCCAGAGCTGGGGATGGAACCCAGGGCCCCCTGTATGCTAGGCAAGCACCCTACCACTGAGCTGCAACCCCAGCCCCAGCCTCCTCTGTGAACACTAGCTCACCCTAAGCAACCAAGGACTGCGAGTTGTCCTCCCCACAGATTTCTCCAGGGCATTGGCTTCTTTTCTTTTTGACAGTTCTTCTTGCTATGCTTTGCACCTCTGTCTATGGTCTCTGTGCTGAGGCAAGGGGAGCCATCTCCTCCTCTCCCTGTAACCTGCCCACTGTGGGGGTGGGTGTCAGGATTGAGAGCTGCTGCCCACATGTGGTTCTTCTCCACACCCCATACCTGCTAAGCCAGGCCCACCAGGAACAAGCTTGAGTGGAAGCCTTCTCTCCAGCCAAGCTGGCTGTCTGCCTGTCTCTCTGATTACATGGTATCCTCTGCAACACACCAGAAGGCATAAGGGTGAGGAAAAAGAAATAGAGGGCCACGAGATAACATTGGAAACACTAGTTGGCCTTGCCAGGTAGAAGCTCCTATTTGCAGGAGCTCTTCTTGTCACTTCACAAACTCATCTAGAGCCCAGATAATGTAATGTTGGAGTCCCCAACTTTTGACATCTCCCAAGAGCCCTACTCTCTGAAGGCAGAGCATCTGTCACATTCCTGACTTGCTATGCTGTGTGTCTTCCAGACTGGAAAGGAAGTCGAATGAGTTGGAGTGCCAAGAGAGTAGATTTAATCCTGACCAAGAAAGGAGAGATTGCCTGCAAATTAGAAGACAATATGTTCCCAAGAACATTGTAGCCAGGGATGTCAGATTTCCACTGTAGATCCTAAGAAGGCAGATTTTGAATAAAGAGACAATGTTAGATACCCCATGAATGTACATGATTATGATTTATCAATTACAAATTATATGTGTGTGTGTGTGTGTGTGTGTACTGCAGATTGAACCCAGGGGGTTTTAACCACTGAGCCACATCACAGCCCCTTTTTTATATTTTATTTTGAGACAGGATCTCCCTAAGTTGCTGAGGCTAGCTTTGAACTTGTGATTCTCCTGCCTCAGCCTCCTGATCCACCGGGTTTATAGGTGTGTACCACTGCACCTGGCTACAAATAATATTAATAAGCCAAGTGGGGGTGGTTCAAAACTATCATCTCAGCTGCTTGGAAGACTGAAGCAGAAGGATCGGAAGTTTGAGGCCAGCCTCAGCAACTTAGCCAGACTGTGTCTCAAAGTAAAAAGGGTTCCGTGGTAAAGTGCTCCTGAGTACAGTCCCCAGGTTCCTCAACAATAGTAATATGAATAAAAAATTGAATAATGAGGGGCTGGGGCTGTAGCTCAGTGGTAGAGCTCTTGCCTCACATGTATGAGGCCCTGGGTTTGATCTTCAGCACCACATAAAATAAAAATAAAGATATTGTGTCCACCTGAATTAAAAAATCACATCCCCAGCCCCCCAAAAATAAATATATTTTTTAAAAATTGTATAATGATTAATTCATTTACAGAGAGAGAGAGACAGACAGACAGACAGACACACACACACACACACACACACACACACACAGAGGGGCTGG